TAGAGGTTGAGATGCAGCCGTTTTTCGACGGAGATTGACCCGAACAAATTACGGGCCCTTCCTCTAGCGCCAAATTGTTGATATGCGAATTTGTATCAACATGGGGTGTTCAGAAGATTGTTCGAATATATCGAATATGTCGAATTTCTTGAATTTTGTATGTAATTGTTGTGTGAATCGATAAAGAGAAATTGAAGAAGAAGCTCCATCTGTTTACATGAGTTTTCTTCATGTGGGGGAAAGAAAATGAGGATTAGGGAGAAAAGTAATAATAGCCCTGAGACTTATGTATGACGTCCATCATAGGGGTATTTATATATGTTTTTGGTGGGCCCGTTATTATTACAAACGGTGTTATTTGTGGGCCCTAAAATAAAATATTGATATAATACATATCTACGTGTAATATTTTAATAGGCGAGGCCAAAATTGGGTATTGACAAAGGGCCTGCAACTGTGTCGTTCGGGTCGGGGTTTCATTATTGACATCCTCGATGGGTACAGCTTCCAGGGCGGCACGACAATTGGCGCACAAATGCTTTTGTCGGCGACTGACGAGGTGGCCGGCGGTCCTCGCTGTTATTTTTCATGATTGCGGCGGCTTGGCGAGGTCGACAGCTGTCTTGTACAATGATGGGGTGATAGTTGCGAAAACGGGCAACACGACTGATCCAGGTCGTCACCAACTGTTTAGGTTTGTATCGATTCATTTTTCTCTTTTTTTTCTCTTTCTCTATGTTTTTTCTCTGTTCATATGCTCTCGTTAAGTGGAATTGTAATTGTTGTATTGATTTTTTTTGTTGTCTTGACATTCAATATCTCCTATATTTTGAGATAAAACTAAAGTTATTAATAGAAAATTGTTTTCATGTTGTTTGATAGTTGTATAGTGTTTAGTTGTCACGACACCCATTTTTCTATACATTATAATATTAATTTTTTTAAGTTGCAATAACAAATATTTTCTACTGCTTCTTAAATAATATAATTGTTATGACGTAGTGTATTTATTAGTTAAATGAGAATAATAATAGAAAAATATGTACAAATTAATAGATCCAAAATATTGTTTATTTAGTTAATAGTTGTTAAATCAAAATGACAATTAAAAAGAATAAGACAGAGTTGCATTTTTTAGAATTCTATGTTCTTTCTTCCTTCCTTTGGACAGTGCTTAATCGTTAGGCAGGGCCCAGATACAAATGCAAAACGGCCAGGTCCATTCATTAAGGACATGCTCTAAAAAAAAAAGAAACACACAAAGCCCAAACCAAAATCACAGCAGCAAAACTACACAAAGTACAAAAAACAAAAACCTTCTCAGAAGAAAATAATAATAATAATAATAAAATAAAATCAAGCCACCTCAATAGTTACTTATGCTTACTTACACTGCCTAGGTCGAAAATTTTCAGAATCTAGAAGCCATGCTACAAGCTTCTCCATCCTTCTAGAACTCGATGACGGCCTAACGACATCCGAACTCCCGAAAATCGCACAAGGGTCCGTTCTCCGGCCATTCCTCCCCAAACACCAACCGCCGGGCACAAACCGACCATCGCCTCTTTTCAAAATCTCCTTGTCGATCCTATCAAGAATCGAGTCATTCTCGGGAATCTTATGGGCAAATGGGGCCCCACTATGAAACATGTCGTCAAAATGCTTGATCGTTAGATTTTCCGGCACCTCGTTTTGCGGGTTTTCCCATCTCACATAATGCAGATTGTGGTTAACCGCCGTTTTTTGGTAGTGTTTGTGGTTGCACATTACCGTGTGAAAGTAGCCCTCGGGAGACGAGAGGAAATTCGTGTAATACATTAGGAGGGTTCGTGGGAGATTGTCCCAACCCCAAACGCAAAACTCGAGAAAAGATCTCGATAGGACTACCCAAGCGGACCCTAAGGAGAAAAAATAAATAAAGATGAATCCACCGAGTGATTATCATTATCATGCAATGGTGCATGAAAAATTGGAGATTTACTTGAGAAATTGTTCAATGATCGCGTTGACTTTACAAAACAGCCTGTGTAACTGCACGCACACCAAAAAAAAAAAGTGGCTTTTGGTCCTTCCACCGGCAAAAGTCGGTCCTGTGATCAATTGCTGACATGGATATTATTTTTTATTTTTTTTCCATACGCTAGCAGCCGACTAACATATCCACTCAGCAACCGCCGGTGGAAGAACTACAAGTCAGGTGTTTTTTGCAGTTCCAGGGTGTTTGTAATTCAACGCAACCACTGGACTATTTCTCAATTTCGTGTCAGTTACAGGTCTAAATCTCCAGCTTTTCCCAACGGTGCATGTAGAAGAATATAAATTCGCTAAAAGGCGTATAGAAATGAATGTTTGGAGTATCGTTAAACTTGGTCCGATTTGATAACTTTTATTTAACTAAAGCAACTTCGAAATTTGACAGTGAATATGTATTTAAGGCATCTTTAAATAGGTCAAGGGGAAGGTAAAAACAGAGGCAACACAAATAATTATGTATCAAAGAAAGATCACTAATAAATTTACATTAATATATCAACAAAAAATTATGCAAAGACGAATTTGAGTATTGATGTTAAGGCAGAGGAAATATATGGCTGGTGGAAACATTGAGATATGGAAATAAATTATTGTCTTTCGCTCTCAACAATTTACCTCAGATGACATAACTCTACAATTTAAGGAAATAAATTCAAAGAATTACCAGTGAATAACTTGAATGACACGGGCACTGATCTTTTCTCTTTGGCCCAAAATAACCGGGATATCGTAGGGTGATAAAGTGCAGGATCTATGGCAATAGGCCTCACTCTTTGGTGCCTGCAAAGAAAGGATCCAAAAAAAAAAAGGTTAATGATCACAAGAAAGAAATGAAGCGGTTGTTTTCTGCTCGTGTGAACAAATGAAGGGGGTTTTAGCCAAAAGCTCACTCTTTCCAACCAAACTCGCTCGTATGCTCAATGAAATTCAGATCCCTCGGCAAGTATGAAAAGATATGAAGGATATCTGATAATAGGCAAAACAAGAATGTCTCAAAATAGTGGGAACACATTTTGATTATCCCAAATATCAGTTTAAAAGAACATCTTATAAATACATCTGAGCTACTAAAGTATAAAGGCTGAAATGCATATTCCACCTAAATATCTCTTAAATCATACAAAATCGGAGAGAAACTCAGAGGAAAGTTCTTATTTCAACAGACATTTTTTAACTGAAAATTCGAGCCGAGCTAGAACAAATTTGAGCCTATCTTGAGAGTTTGTGTTCTTTTATCGTGTAGGTCCTTAAAAAAGCTTGGCTTGTCGAACTCGAGGCGGTATATAAAATCGATCCTAGCATGATAAGATCAAAGCTCGACTCGTTTGCATACCAAACTATCTATTCAAGACAATCACACCAATCAAATTCTATTAAAAATCGAAAATACCACAACCTCAAAACCCATTTTCACACACAATTTTCTCAAAATGATTCATCAAAAATATCACATCCTCAAACATTATCCACATTACATAAACAGCAGCAATCAAATCACATCTAAAGAACCAACACCGTAATCATAATATTTTACAAAAATAAAATGAAATAAAAATGAAAAAAACTTACCGTCCTGAGGCATAAGCGGATAATCAGAAGCTCCAAGGTTAACAAACCAATCCCAGATCTCCGCCTGCTTCAGTAAAATCGCCACCGCGTGCAGCGTGGCAGCCACCGCCGTCGGCCCCTTGGGGGTGACCAAATCGCCCTTTCCCATCACCATCACATTCCCGAACCTCCGCACCGCAGCTTCGGACTTGGCGAACCTGGCCAGCTCGAGCCTCTCGTCATCGGACGCCACCCAATCCAGGTGGAGCAGATAGTAATTCCGTGGATGGTACAGCGCCTGAAGAAGCCGCCTCAGCCTCCGGCCGTCGCCGCTCGTGCCCGATATGAAGTACGCAAATCGCGGCGGGTCGGGCAGGATCGGGTCGGCTGAATCCGAACCCGGAAAAGGGGACCCACTGGGCTTGTGGTCTGATAAGACTAAAATCGAGACGAGGATTACTGCACATATGGAGAAAAAGGCGATGGGCAGTGAGGATTTGCGATTAATGTGAGCTCTTTTCATCACTCCTTTTGACTTTTCTGCTCAAATCGTTGAAGGGTTTTGGGGGGAAAAGCTCTATGCTAGGGTGAATTTGCTTGTAAATCGAAAATGGCGAAGATTGGCGGCGGATATTGGAGCAGATTTTGAGGGTTGAGCTATAAAAATGGAGTCTTTGAAGTTTGAACTTGTTGAGGAATTTTAGCGTAGAACACAAGGGAAAAATGGGGGAAAACAGTACAGTAGGTGGAACTTGTCTTTGTCGGTGGATTATTGGCCATCTTATAATTAGTTGTTAATGATGATGATTGTGAATTAAACAAGAGTTACTGTTTAGTTGCTATAGTTTGAAACGCCTAATAAATCACTTATCACGGGCGACACTCTATATTTGAGGGAAATTGTACGGTTTTGTCATGTGTCATCCTTTCGGGTGTTTTAACCGTCGAACCCACATGTAATTAGATAAGAAAGATGACTCAACGGTTAAAAACATCCGACAAATTGATACTGTAACGGGACCGTAGCATTTCCCTATATTTGAATTACAATTATTTGGGCATGCGTGTTTATCAATGAGGTGGAAAACTGGCTTATTCTTTCAAGGAAAATTCTAAAAGAACAACCTAGTTTACATCCCCAATTACAACCAAATAGTAAGTCAAAAATTTTGACAAAAGAAGATTGCAAATTGACTATTATACCCTTATTTGTTTTTTAAGTGTTAATAAGGATATAAAATGAATTACAATCTTACAGATATAAAACGAGATATGGAAATCTTGAAAAAACAGATAGAAGAGTTATTTAAATCTGTTCAACAACAGTCTAAAGATTCTAAACAAGATTTAGAACCTATAGCAGCTAAAATAATCAATGATATTAAGCAAGAAATTGCGGAATGTCCTTGTAAAAAAGAAAATAAAAAACAGAAAGAAATTTCTAGCCAAGAAAATAAAATACCTTTTCTAAAATATTCATATCCTAATGATTTAGTAGGAAATGAAGAATTAGGAAGTTCAGGAAATCCTTACGCTTTTAAATGGCCAAAAGATGCTTTGAAAAAATGAATCTTCAAGAAAAACTTGAGAAAAATCTTTGGAATCTAATTAATCTAGATTTGGATGATAAACAAGCTATTCAGCTTGAACATACAATTCGTTTTTTGGAAATGAATGAAGAACAATGTAATTCAGATTTGGAATCAAACCCTGAAATGAAAAAGTTGTTAAAACTCGAAGAACATGAACAATTTTATCAAATTGAGGAAACTCAAACTGACACTCAGTCAAAATCAGAAATAAATTTCAAAGATGAAGAAGAACTTCTAAAGGAAAATTTTAGAATGGAAAAACCAGAATCATCTGGAACAAAAGATGATCAAGAAATGAATACTGAAGAATTCGAAAGAAAACCATCAGTAACTCCTAGACCACCTAGATCCTCTAACGACAATGTCGGTATCCCTGGTATTGCCGGAGAAGTTCAGACAGCTTCAATCTTAGACTTAGACTGTAAAAAACCTGAAACAATTAAAAAATTAATTGATAAATGGGGACTAGAAATGAGTCTTCTGATTAATCTCAATCCAAGTACTTTCAATACAGCACAACTTGTGTTAGCACTTGCTGAGCATAGAATGCTTGGAAATGCACAAAATTTTATAAAAAGAGTCCAATGGGATACTAAAAATGTAAACCCTGCAGTTATGCTTGAAAGCATTCTGAACAGTCTTTATACTTTGTTTTTGGGCATTGATCGAGTATCAAATGCGGAAAATGAAAAACTTATAGAGCAATCTAAAGCTAAGGTAAGATTAAATAATCTGACTCTTTGCGATATTTGTTACATTGAGGAATTCAATTGTGATTTCGAAAAGAATCTTTTCAAAATAGATTTTGGAGAACATCCTGAATACATTAAAATGTATTTAGCAAAAATTCCTATTGTAGGAAATGATGCTTCAAAAAAATATGAAGCAGCTGAAAATCTTATGAAATATAGTTTCGGTTATGCCAAAAGACTCGTAAGAGAAGAAATTGAAAAATTTTGTAATGCTACTACAAAGCAAAAACAAATGAAAAAATTTAACAGAAACTGTTGTTCTAAAATTTCTGAGAAACCTACAGAATATGGTTGTAAACCATATAAAAGAAAATCTAAGAAAAATTACTCTAGAAAGTATAAGTACCAGAAAAGAAAGAAGAGAAAAACTTTTAAACCTGGTAAATATTTCAGAAAGAAACAAAAATTTCAACCCAAGAAAAACTTTTGTCCAAAAGGGAAAAAGAATTGCAGATGTTGGATCTGTAACATAGAAGGTCACTATGCAAATGAGTGTCCTAATAGACAAAAATCTGAGAAAGTAAAATTTCTCCAGATTGCAGAATCATTTGGTCTTGAACCAATTGAAGAAGAATACTCTGATATAGAAGAAGTTTATATACTGGAAAAATTCGAAGATGAATCCTCTTCAGGAACATCGAGCACAGAAAACAGTGATACAGAGTGAGGATAACCTCATCAGTATTACAAACCCAAATTCAATCTACGTTAAAGGTAAATTGAAATTCGCATGATATAAACAAATGGAAATACATTGTTTTGTTGATACGGGTGCAAGCCTTTGTTTATCTTCAAAATATATTATTCCTGAAGAACATTGGGAAAATGCTTCAAGAACATTGCAAGTAAATATTGCAGATGGAAGCTCAATCTCAATAAATAAAGTTTGCAAAAATTTAAATATAATGATAGCAGGAGAAATATTTCATATTCCAACTATTTATCAACAAGAATCTGGAATAGATTTTATTCTAGGAAATAATTTCTGTCAATTATATGAACCTTTTGTTCAATACACTGACAGAATAATCTTTACCAAGGATAATCAACCGGTCCATATAGGAAAATTGAGAACTGCATATAGGGTTGGAAATCCAGGATATTTAGATTCCATGAAAAAGAAATCTAAATCCAAAAAACCGGAACCAGTTCAGATAACTACTGATAAAATCTCACTTCTTAAGGAGAGGGGAAAGAGGTTATTAGAGTTTAGAAAAGAAATAAACATATTTGTTCTTAATCAACAAAAATTTTCTATAATAGAAAAATTATGGAAAAAAGTTTGCGCAGAAAATCCACTTGATCCTAATAAGACCAAGTATTGGATGAAAGCTTCTATCAAACTGATAGATCCTAAAACCAAAATTGTGGTGAAAGCAATGAGCTATACACCCAAAGATAGAGAAGAACTTAATCAACAAGTTCAAGAAATGCTTGACATGAAAGTCATTATTCCTAGTAAGTCTCCTCATAGATCACCAGCATTTTTGGTAGATAAAAAAGGGACTTCAAAACGAAGAATTGTTATTGATTATAGAGAGGTTAATAAGAAAACAATTGGTGATGGTCATAATTTACCAAATAAAGATGAACTATTATCTCTATTAAAAGGAAAAACAATATTTACATCTTTCGATTGTAAATCTGGTTTTTGGCAAGTCCTTTTAGATAAGGAATCCCAACTATTAACGGCTTTTACATGTCCATTAGGACATTACCAGTTTGTGGTAGTACCTTTTGGTTTAAAACAAGCACCATCAATCTTTCAAAGGCATATGAATAATGCATTCAGAAAGTTTGAAAAATTCTGTTGTGTATACGTTGATGATATTCTAATCTTCAGTGATACAGAACAAGAACATTATATGCATGTTGCAGTAGTTTTGAAAGAATGTGATAGATTAGGAATAATTCTTTCTGAAAAGAAAACTCAATTGTTTAAAACTAAAATAGAATTTTTAGGATTAACAATTGAAGAAGGTTTTCATAAACCTCAAAATCATATTTTGGAACATATTCATAAGTTCCCAAACAAACTTGAAGATAAGAAACATTTAATGCGCTTTTTAGGTGTATTAACTTATGCTTCAGATTATATTCCTAAATTAGCTAATATAAGGGCTCCCCTACAAGCTAAATTAAAGGAAGATAAAAAGTGGTATTGGTCAGAAACTGATACTAATTACATGAAGAAAATAAAGAAAAATTTAACCAATTTTCCTTTATTATATCTTCCAAAAATAGATGATCAGTTGATCATTGAAACAGATGCATCAAATGCATATTGGGGTGGTGTTTTAAAAGCACTATCTAATGAAAAAGAGTATATATGTCGATATGCCTCAGGAAGTTTTAATTCGGCTGAAAAGAATTATCACTCAAATGAAAAGGAATATCTTGCGGTAATAAAAACCATAAAGAAATTTACAATTTATCTTACTCCTTATAAATTTACTGTTAGGACAGATAACAAAAACTTCACTTATTTCTTAAAAACCAAGATGAAGGGCGATAGTAAACAAGGTAGGCTTGTAAGATGGCAGATGTGGCTTAATCAATATGAATTTGATGTATTGCAGGAAACAAGAACGTCATTGCAGACTTTTTATCTCGAGAATTTAACGACCTTTGATAAAATGTTCACAGGATTAAGGCTCAATGGAGCACATAACCAGTCACAGGCGGTGACAATAGGGAGTTGCTTCCCAGGCATGATTTATGCTCGATAAAGCATCATCTATAATGGATGAATTACAACAACTTCAGTTGCAGGAAGGACTTCTGGTCCAAGAACTTGAATTGGTTCGCGCCAAAATCAAGTATGTAAGCTTGTTTAAAGCTGAAAAAAAAGAGATTCTACTGTCTCTATTCCAGCAATGGAACAAACGAGTAATGTAACAAGCCTAGCTTGTGAACAAAAAGAGGAAATTTCATCTCCTCCAGATCTTATAGATCTTGAAGGTGAAACTAGTCCAGAGCAAACGGCTACTGGTAAAGACTTATCAAATCCGTTAATAGCTAGCAACTTGCTAAAAGCGGCAATAGGTATTAAATTACCAACAACGTCGGATAATTCTGAGGGTTTAAACCTCAGACCGAACGGTGGAACCTCTGTTCCTAAACAGATAAAATCACTGGACAGTGATAAGGGAATTCAAATCCCAAATAAAAAAGACACAACATATTATGTCGTGTTCAATGGTCCAAATGCAGGTATTTATCAAGACTGGGAGATTACCAAAAAGGCTACAAGTGGTATTTCTGGTGTTTCACACAAGAAATACAAAAGTTTCATTGAGGCTCGTATTGCAGCAGATCAGTACTCGAGAATAAATGCAATAGCTCCCCTTGAGCTAATTTGCACAGCAGATGGACTTCAGCCCAACACATTTACTGCGGCCTTAAAAAAGCCCAGAAAACAAGAAAGGCTCCAGACTCTTGGAAAAATTCCCAAGAAACAAGAAGCTCAACAAGAAGAACAGGTCACTCCGATCCAACTTCCAAAAGAAGGTCTTGAATATTGGATCAACTTGGCCCGAAACAGCGGTGAAGCAGAAATCCTTACGGACAAATACTTCACGACAAATGGGAGGGATTTGAGATTTTTCAATTTCATAAAAAATGCAAATCCAGAAATGGTAATCGAGGCGTTTGAATACGGGATGGTAAAAACCATATATCCCAGCCAGACTTTGAAGGAACTACAGGAATTACCTCAAAATGTTCTTAAGTCAATCAAACAATACAGGAAAAAATGTGTTCACGGGGAAAAAGACATATTCCTAAAAATCACTAGTTCAGTACCCATCTGGATTAATAATAAAATTATCCCGGCCAAACATCTTATAAGGATAGGGATTAGTTCTGGTGAAAAATTCATTAAGCCAGAAAATAAACAGTTCAAAGAGGTCAATCTGGATCAAATTGGACTAAGTCGTTATGAACTTCTCGTCGAAAAAGTCATGGAATTCAACACAGATGATAAAGTGTTCGTCAATTATCAAGATGGAAACTATTTGATGTATTCAAAGGCACTAAAACCAATGACAAGTGATGATGAGAGGAAGATAATTGTATTCCAGAAAAACCTTTTGCAATGTTATCATCATCCAAAAATCTGTGACAAGATCAAGAAGATAAGAGAAGCACGAGGAAGTATTTACAACTGTCCAAGTTGTCTCTCAACATCTAGAGTGGAACCTACCATTCTGAAAAATAATGAAGATTCCCCAACAATGTCTACTTCAGCCAGCTCAAAAAAGGAAGATAATGGAGTAGGTCCGGAAAAGCAATAAGAGCAGAACGTGCTAAATGCGATTCCACGTCAGGAATGACGTAAAACATTTTGTATCGATCCTCATTCCTTAGTGTATAAAAGGATGAGTTACATTTTCAATAAGGGACATCAGAAAATTAGTCGAGGGTCTAGCTTGAATTTCTGTAAAACTTTCTTTCTTCTATGTCTATATGTGAGTAGTGAAAGGTTCCTTCTTAGGAACTTGAGATTGTAATCAGAGGCTTGAATGAATAATTA